GGGTTCTTCATTTCTTCCTTCTCTAGTTTCTTTAGGTGTAGAGTTAGGTTATTTATTTGACTTTTTTCTTGTTTCTTGAGGTAGGCCTGTAATGCTATGAATCTTCTCCTTAGCACTGCTTTTACAGTGTCCCATAGGTTTTACAACCCAGGTTTCTGATTTGGGAAGTCTGGGTGGGAATTTGCATGTCCTGTAAGTTTCCAGGTGATGCTGATGCTGCTGAATCAGGGACCACACTTTGAGAACAAGCAATCTAGAGGAAGCTGGCCATAGTTCTTGAGTTAGGCTATCTGGTGCTTATAGGCATGTGAGTTTGAGACCCTTGGAATTGAGGCTGCCCAGGACCAACCTGCTGTGTTTCACTCAGCCTTGTGCCCCTGGTGGAACCTTCTAAATGCTTGGTCCCCACATAGCTTCTGCACAAACAGGCCATTGGATTCCTACCGTAACTTCTTGGGTTTGTCACCAGAGTTCTTGGTCTTCTAGGCCAGCCACCTCCAGTTCCCAGGGGCTGTTTATGGCACAGATGGATGTCCTGTGTCCATCGAGAGAATTGTGAACACCTTCAATGGAACTGGCTGCCCCAGCTTGGGAGGGAAGCCCAAGCTCTTCTTCATCCAGGCCTGTGGTGGAGGTAAGCCGATCCTCAGCGTTGCAGCCGATGAGGCTAGTGGGAAAGTAGAGGTTGATCCAGGCATCCAGAGGGCCCCAAACATGGTCACTGCTGTCCGAAAGTGGCACCTCCATTTATCTGGAGTAGCCTGAACTCTGTCTAACTTTTAGAGGTTTGCATCTCATGATGCTGTAGCATCAGGGGATCATTGAACTATGGCCACTTCAACCTCAGACTTGGTGAAAACAAACAATGCAGAGGAGAGAGGAAACTTATTTCATTTTCTTTAGCTCCTGTCATTCTCCTGACCTCCATCAACCCAGCTCCCTCCCACTGTTGCAGAGAAAGGGAGGCCACTGCTGGATTAACTGTTGGAATTCTCAAAGGCTTTGGGATTAGGGAGTCAATAATTTTTAAGGATTATTTAGATTGTTTGTAGCTTTGCTATATGCGATGATTTTAAACCTGAGCCCTACTTCACCGTTACCTGGTTTTCTTGTAAAATAAAAGAGGAAGAGAGAAGAACATTGTGTGTCCTGGATTATGGGACATGAGGTCATCTCCAGGTGATCTGGCCCTGACTTCTTTGCCTCCCCCGCCTGGCATGCTGTGCCCACCCCAGCACTGCTCAAACTTCCTAGGATGTCAGGCTCTGGCTTACTCCTCAGCCTTCCTATGTGCCATCCCTCTGCCTTATCTCCTGGCTAACTCTTAATCATCCATCCTTCTGGTTACAACTTCCTGGTCACTGCTTCCAGGAAGTCTTCCCTGAATATCCCCTTCCTTGCACAGAGTCAGGGTTCGCTGGCCCTTGTTCTCCTGTAGCCCCTATTCTTCCCTTGTCTTAGCACTTTCTCCTAGTATTGAGATGGCCTCATCCCTTTGTCAACCCTCTGAGGGCAGGGCTAGTCCCACCTTCCCTATAGCTGGGCCCCTGCCTGACACAAAGCCCGTAGTATGCTTGCATCTTTTGTGCATTCTAATTGTTTGACTTTGAAATAAAACCATATAAAAATATCTGTGAGCAAAATCTTAAGTAATGTAGACTCCCACCAATAAAAACTAAACCAAACGATTAACTGAGAACAGGAGAACTCCAGAGCTGGAAAGCAGTAATTAAGGTGCCACCTTTGAAATTCGTGTCCCTGCTTCCACCCTTGTGTTTTAACGCCGTGGGGTCGTGTTTTTAACGCTGTTGCCACGTGAGGGCGCCACCATCAGCTGAGACCAGAAATACCCAAAGGTTGCGGATCTCTGCCAGCGTCTGGTGAGGTATCCTGTTGTTTACACATTTCTGAACTGGTCTGCCCTGGGTTTTGGTGACTCGTGTTGCTATTTTAAGATTCACTGTTGTTGCAATTTAAAACCATTTTAAAATCTTCTAAATGTCATCTACCCTTCATTAAGAGAGAGCGTGGGCACCAAGGTGGAAGAACGCACCTCAGAGTCAGTAACTCTGGTGTGAAATGTCAGTGAGTAAGCCATGTGATGAACGTGGCCAGAGCGGAGGGGCCTGAGATTCGGGGGTGACCCCTCCAGAACTTTGGAGGTCATGCTGAGAGGCCAGGAAGGAAGAATCATGGACGACAGTGGTTGTGGATTTTATGTCCTGAAGGAATGGTGCCTCATCCCACTGGGTCTATTCTTATGGGAAGTCAAGCTTCCTCGCAGGAGTTTTGAATCAGTGAGGCTCCTTAAGAAGAAAGCAGTGCCTTACCTGCATAACTTGTAGGTGAGGTCTTCCCCCTGAGATTGTAGGAGGATGACGCGTGAATCGAGACACAGCCGGTATCCCGTCTGGCCCCCTTCTTCCTCTGTCCCCCATCCTCCCCTTCTGGAGCCCATTGTCTCTGCTTCATTTTCAGAGGCAGCCCCTCTGCCTGCCCCGTCTCCTTCAGCCCTTCCTGTAGCATCCCCCTCGCTGAAGTGCCTCCTATCCCACTGCACCCTGCCACCCCGGGCGGACCCAGCCACAGCCCTACGCTCCCAACCCAGCCCCACGCTCCCTTCCCCGTCCCACTTCAAGTCATTCCTGGAACCCAGGGTGGATTCCAGAATCTTGGTCAAGAAGACAACCGGAAGCAGTGACCTGGGATAGCTGTCCAGTTTTCACAGATCTAAGAAGCCCCCAGTGTAGGCTTGGGGGCCCCCATGGGAAGCAGCAGGGTAGCTGAGAGCCAGAAGAATGTAGGCTGGAGTCCTGGTCCCCTGCGTATTAGCCATGAGATCACAGACAGATTACCAGGTTTCTGAGCTTCCGGTGAGAGGTCAGTCGACATTGGGGTCATTATTGTGGGGTTTCTAGAGCCATCTGTCCTATCTCTGTCCCCTGCAGGTGGGACACCAGGTCCCCTAGGTGAACCGTGACTTCCCTCGTTCCTTGCTGTTACCCACCGTGGATCCAGCCACACAAACTCTCCTGCTCTCCTGCCCTGGGACCTGCCTGATAGGTGCCGTTTCTCCCCGCAGGACTGTTCTCCCTTCTCACAAGGGAGACTGGGTCACAGCCGCCCACTCCAGAAACCTCTGGGCCCCTCCACCCTCTGCCTGTCTTTACTGAAGCTCTTTTTAGGTGCCTTCTTTCTTTTGTTTTGGTGATGTAGCTTGTGGGATCTTAGTTCCCCGATCAGGGAGCGAACCCTTGCCTCCTGCAGTATAAGTGTGGTAACTCAACCCCCGATCCTCCAGGGAACTCCCTAATGTGACTTGAGTTTTTATTTTTTTATTTTTGCCTGTGCTGGGTCTTCATAACTGCACACAGGCTTTGTCCAGTTGCAGTGAGCGGGTGCTGCTCTCTAGTTGTGGTGCGTGGGCTTCTGATTGAGGTGGCCTCTCTTGTTGCAGAGCTGGGCTCTAGGGTGTCTGGACTTCAGTCGTTGTGCAATAGTCATCCCGGGCTCCAGAGCACAGGTTCAATAGTTGTGGTGCACAGGCTCAGTTGCATGTGGGATCTTCCCAGACCGGGGATTGAACCTGCGTATCCTGCATTGGCAAACTGATTTTTTACCACTGAGCCAGCAGGGAAGCCTGTGACTTGATCTTTAATGACATAAAATAAAACTTGCCATTTTAACCGTTAAAAATTGTTCCATTCAGTGGCTGTCAGTGCAGTCACAATGTTGTTGGACCATCATCACCATCTAATTCTAGAACATTTCATCATCCTCCCAAAGAATCTCCATACCTGGTAGCAGTCACTCCATTCCCCCTCCTAACAGCTAATCTGCTTTCTTCTCTCTGGATTTGCCTCTTTTGGATATTTCATATAAACAGGATATCATATGGCTTTAGATATTTGCCTTCTTTCACTTAGCCTACTCTGGAGGCCCATCCACATTGTATTATATTGCAGTGTTTCATCCCTTTTTAAGCTTGAGTAATATTCTGTTGAGTGTTCATACCTCCATTCATCTGTCCCTGGACACATGAGTGGTTTCTTCCTTTTGTCTTCTGTGAATAATATGATCAACATTGCTGCATAAGTTCTTGTTTGAACACCTGTTTCCAGTTCTTTGGCGTGTATACCTTCTAACTGGTTTCTTTTGCTGTTTTTAAAATGTCTGCATTCTTGCTCCCCCCGCCCCCACTTTATTTAATGAACATGTGAAAATTTTGTTTTAATAAAAGTAAAGCCCCTGTTTAGGCTTCCTGCTCATGTTGGCCCGGCACTAGGCCCCTGGCTCCAGAGGAAATCAGGCCTCTCAGGGCTGGTGGCATGAAGTGGGAGCTCTGGTCTGGGTGTCTCACTGACAACTTGTGTCTGTTTCCGCTTCCTGCAGAGCAGAAGGACCACGGGTTTGAGGTGGCCTCCACTTCCCCTGAAGATAAGACCCCCAGTAGCGACCCTGAGACGGATGCTACCCCATTCCAGGAAGGCCCACGTTCCATCGACCAGCCGGATGCCGTGTCTAGTTTGCCCACACCCAGCGATATCTTAGTGTCCTACTCCACCTTCCCAGGTGAGCGGATCCGGAGACCTCGTCCTTCTAGCCGGCAAGTCCCCTCATCTGCCCCGGAAGCAGCAGTGCTGTGAAGGAAAGACCTGGGTGTGAGTCTTGGTTCTGCCGCTTTGTTGCCTTTGTGACCCTGAGTAAGTTACTTCACCTCTCTGAGCCTCAGCTCAGGGCGATGCAGTCGAGGCGCCTAGAATGCACAATGGAAGGAGGCACGCACCCTTGTTTTGGTGTGCCTCAGTCTCCTCACCCTTGTCCTGGCCCTGCCTCAGTCTTCTCTTCTTTAAAATGGGAATATTAATTGTACCTTGGGGATCATCACGGTGATTTTAACAAGGTGGCTGGCCCATTGCTGAGCCCAGTGCCTGGCACACAACAGGTGTGACAAATGTTCGTTTCCTTCTTTCTTATCCCCTGGAAGTCTCACTTGACTTCTCCAAGCATGGATTGCCTTGTTGGGAAAACGGGAGTCCTAACCAAAGTCACAGGGTGATGGTGAGGATGAAATAAGATCACACAGAGCCCAGAGATGCAGGCTCTGATGTCCATATAGATATCAGTCAAGGTCTGGGGGTGGGCCCACGGGGTGGGCCCACCCTCATGGGGAGGGTGGCTCCCCAGCGAAGCTCAGCCTTTCTCCTTGCACAGGCTTTGTCTCCTGGAGGGATCCCAAGAGCGGCTCCTGGTACATCGAGACCCTGGACAGCGTTTTTGAGCAGTGGGCTCACTGTGAAGACCTTCAGACCCTCCTCCTCAGGGTGAGGCTGCTGGAGGGCCAGTGTGTCCTCCCCAGGGTGGGGGTGAGCAGGGCCCCAAGCCCAAGCTAGAAGCTGCTTCTGTAAGCCAAAGGCTTTCCCTGAGGGTTGATGCTTTTGCTTCTGTAAATGGACGAAGTTACTGCCTGGAGTGGGGCTTCCCTGGTGGCTCAGTGGTAAAGAATCCGCCTGCCAATGCAGGAGACGTGGATTCGATCCCTGCATCAGGAACATCCCCTGGAGGAGGGCATGGCAACCCACTCCAGTATTCTTCCTGGAGAATCCCATGGACAGAGGAGCCCAGCAGGCTATAGTCCATGGGGTCAAGACGATTCGGACATGACTAATTGACTAAAACAACAAACAGCAACACTGCCTGCAGTGACATTTGCTCATTATGCCAAAGACAGCCTTCCCTGGCCCCTGAGGTCCCAGGCTGACGCATCCCACACTCCCCACTGATGGAGCCAGTCCTTAGTGCCAGTGTGGGACGGCCCGGTACCTGAGCACAGCCCCTGATGGCAAGTCGCAGGCCTGTACCCTCTGCTCCACTGTGTAGTCTTTACTCTTGACCCTCAAGAATCAGGGATCCTCCCGACCCGCGAGGCCCCAGTGAGAATAGCGAAGCACGGCTGGGCAGTGCCCCACTCAGAGTGGTTGCTCCTCGAAGGGGCTCAGAGCATGTGGGGTCCCCTCCTGCTCTGCTCAGGTTTTTGTGCCACGAGAAGGGGCTGTGAGGGCTCGGATCGCTCCTTCCTCCTGGGGAGGCTCTGGCTCTGAGCTTTGCTGAGCAGAGGAGACGAGAAAAACAGGTGCCGCGCCATCCCTGGCAGGACTCCAGGGGTGCCATGAGCCATGGCCGTGGGTGAGAAAGTCTCACAGGCAGGTGGGGCCCCATCAGGGCTGAGCAACGTGCTCAGCTCCTGGGCCCGGTCTCTTCTCTCAACTTTTCTTCATGTAGACCTTTTAATTTGACTTGAATTTTGTGAATTTTTGAATTTTCTTTTTAGAAAACTTTTATTGGAGTATAGTTAATTTACAGTGTTGTGTTATTAATAATTTTAGGTGAACAGGAAAGTGAATCAGTTATACATACATTTAACCACTCTTTTTTTGATTCTTTTCCCACATAGGCCATCACAGACTATTAGGTAGAGTCCCTTGTGCAATACAGTAGGTTCTTACTGGTTACCTGTTTTATATTTAATAGTGTGTATATGGGCTTCCGTGGTGGCTCAGATGGTAAAGCGTCTGCCTGCAATGTGGAAGACCCAGGTTCAATCCCTGGGTTGGGAAGATCCCCTGGAGGAGGAAATGGCAACCCACTCCAGTACTCTTGCCTGGAAAATGTCCATGGACTGAGGAGCCTGGTAGGCTACTGTCCATTGGGTCGCAAAGAATCGGACATGACTGAGCAACTTCACTTCACTTATGGTATTTGTCTTTGTTTGACTTCACTTAGTATGACAATCTCTAAGTCTATCCATATTGCTGCAAGTGGCATTATTTTGTTATTTTTATGGTGAATTTTAACTTTTCTAAACTTGAGATGCTTGTTCCCTTAATCTCCGCCACCCCGCCCAGCACACACATACACATACACACACTCAAGAAAGCTGCAGCCAGAGCTGTTTTTTGTATTATTTTTTAAAGATTTTTTTTTGACGTGGACCATATTTAAAGTATTTATTGAATTTGCTACAACATTGCTTCTGTTTTCTGCTTTGGTTTTTTGGCCACAAGCCATGTGGGATCCTACCTCCCTGACCAGGGATCAAACCTGCATCTCCTGCAGTGGAAGTTGAAGTCTTAACTCCTGGACCACCAGGGAAGTCCCTAGAGTTGTTTTTGAAGTTCTGACTTGGCATTCCCCCTTTGGAATTCTTCTTTCAGCGGAGAGAACTCACAGGCCTCCCTGTGGTTGTGTTTTCACAGGTCGCGAATGCTGTTTCAGTGAAAGGAACTTACAAACAGATCCCTGGCTGTTTTAATTTTCTCCGGAAAAAACTTTTCTTTAAAACATAATGAGATCAGGACCCCTCACCCTGCCTTACTGTTCACCCTGAAACTTTCCTGCTCCAGCTCTGGCTGTGGCTAAGGCCTGGACTTTTCTGCAACTGTGGCTGACATCCATCGGAGGATTCTGTAGCCGGTAGAGGCTCTGCTGTTTCCCCACGGGCTGCAGACAGTCCTAGTAGCTTCCAAGTTGGAGCCAAATGACCAGCCATGGAGGAGGAGGAGCAGAACGCCGTGGACACTATAGGGCTTTTTGCCCGTGACCCATTCATGGCTCGTGGCTGTGGCCTGTGACCCCTGTGTTTTCTCTACATCAGGGCTTCTCAGCTTCAGCACAGCTGACAATCGGGCCAGAGAATCCTTTGTTGTAGGGCCATCCTGTGCACTGTGGGATGCTGAGCAGCCTGGCCTCCATCCACCTCTCTTGAGTCTTGACAACCAAACATGTCTTCAGACATTGCCAAATCTTCCTCATAGACCCCTACTGGGGAACCACTGATCTATAGGAAATTTTGGCTACAAACAAACTAGCATCTCTCTTAGATCAGTTTAGGGCTACCAGAGTCTGAAGAGCTAGAATTTGTAAATCCTAAATGAAATTTTAAAAATTATCAAGTTTTTCTATATTGCAGTGTTCTTAAAAAAAAAAAGGTGAATATGGACTCTCTTTCACCCATTTCCCCCTTATTTTGCTCTAACTTTTTATTGTTTCTTTTATATAAAGGAGACTATGGCTTTTTGGGAAATATTTCCCCAGCTCTTACCTTTTTTGAACCCCTTATCCCATCCCAAGAAGTGGCTGGGGTGGGAGCCGTGTGTTGGGGAAGGTTAAGTCACTTGTCTACGGAACGCAATTAACCAGTGGAGAGACATGGGCAGACTTGGGCCTTCTTCAGTCCAGCCTGTGTCTTCCTGGCTTCAGGACCCTTGTACCCCCCATCCCCCACCCACCTGCTGAGCCTATAAGCTCAGCTTAAAGACCCTGAGCCTGTTTCTTGCTTTCAGGGCCTTAAACACGAGTACAGTTTTCTAATAAGACTCTCACCAAGATGTGATTCAAGTAGTTGTCACTTTATTGTTATTTTTCTCCTGTGACCTTTCCAAGTCTGAAACAGTCCCAGGGACTTCTGGTGGTTAGTTATTTTCAATCACCTGCAGGACACACAAGAAAATAATTAGATTAACTCAGCAGAGCAAGCCTTGTGTGCAGATTCCCAGCTTTCTCCCTCCCCACTCTGCACTGCCTGTGTGAATCAGGCAGCTGGAGTTGAAGCAGTTCTCCCCAGGAGCTCTAATGATGCTTGGGAGAAAAGATGTCATCACAGCTTTAAATGGATTTCCTGTAAAAAAGGAGTCTTAGCCAGCAGTTCAGTTTGGGCTTCAGGGCGGAGGTGGAGTGGGGCTGGGAATTCTTAAAAGTTACATGCCAAATGTATGGATGGGCATGTTTGTAGATGTGATTTGTTTCTCAAAGATTTGAGAGGCCCAAAATTGATAACAATTGCTGCTGTTTGCCAGGCACTGTTGTGTGCTATGGAAGGGGCTATAACCTGTTTTTAGAAGCTGTTTGGCATCTACTAAACATTCTAACGTGCCAACTCCATGATCCTTTGATGCTGCAGGATCTGTGTAGCATAGAGACTCTGGCCAGTGCAAGGATGTATGTCCAAGGATGTTCATTGCAGCCATATAAGAGAGGAAAATAGGAAAAGAGATGAAAGCTTCATTCATTATATTCATACTATGGAATCTTAATTAGAATGAATAGATATCTATGGGCTCACATGTATAGTGCAATACAGTGTTAAGTGAAAAAACCAAGTTGCAGAACAGTATGAGAAGTAAAATCCTATTTTTGGTTAGAAGACAGCGTGTTTATATGTACGTATATAGATATTTTATAGAGGCACCTAAATAAATCAAGAAGACAACACACCAAGTGTTAGTTATGATTATCTCTGGATGGTGGGATTGCAGGTGTCATACAAATGAGGGGCGTCTACTTTTTGACTTGATACACTCCTATATTCTTTTCATATTTTTTACCAAGAGTATGTATTACCTTCTAAAATAAAAATAAAGCTGGTGAATACTGATGATTCATTGAATAGCTGTTGAAAAGATGAATGCCCCTGGCCACCTGTCTCCTGTCAACTTTGCAGCTCCTGGCCTTGATTCGTCACCTGTCTGGATTTGGAACTCCAGGCCGCACACAGTGTGGCCCAGGCTGGGACCACGGCAAGGTTCCACTGGCCCCTCTGCAGTTGCCGGGGTGGCCTCCCCCAGGGGACAGCTGGCAGCTTGGCTCTGCTGCTCCTGGAACCTGTCACGGGCACATGTGCCTACCCTGACTGCTGTCCCGGGAACGCAGGACCCTTGCCCAGCTGCCTTGCAAGCCCTGTTTCCCCTGTTGATTCCCTCTGACATCTGGCCAGGCTGTCAGCAGAGGCCTGCTCTGTTGTGCGTGTGTGCGTGGCTGGGAGCAGCTGATATTGGGACCAGAAGACAGGACAGTTGCTCCCGGTCCCTGCTTGCAGCTGATATTGGGACCAGAAGACAGGACAGTCGCTCCCGGTCCCTGCTTGGGGCCCCCGAGGTGCTGCCGGGGCCAGCTGCCTGGTGACTCACAGCAGCTGGGGCTGGAGAGCATCCCCGGATTTGGCTGCAAAACACCCTACTTATCCTCCTGTCTAATCCGTCTTGGGCCAGGCTCCTTTGAAATGCTGGTGGCACCTCCAAAGTCGCACTCGGGTTTCCCTCTGCCAAGATGAGATCATAGTTTTTCCCCAGTTGACTGAAAAAAATTTTGTAAATTAATGGCCACTCACTCTCTTCTTGATTTTACATTTTTCTCCAACAAACTTTTCTGGAGCCTCTGGTGCCTATAACCACTTGTTGGCAAAGGAAACGCCAACAGACAGACAAATGAGCAAGGAGCCGGCAAGTATTAATGGGAAAACTCGGAGACAGCCACCTGCTTGTTTTGACAGTGCCCATTTGACAGTGCTGTCTTCCTCCTGGGACCGCATGCTCACGGCTGTGGTGTCATATTTGATTTTATAATGGAGTGTTGGTTTGGTTTAATTAAACAGCTCTCCGTAAATTCAACTTAAAATAATGAAATCAGATGCCAACTTTCCCTTCTTTGAGCGCTCTGACACTACAACTCCCACTTGTTCTGTCTCCTAAAAGAGTTGAGTGAGTCTTGATCTAGTTCAAGTCCCATTTTACAGAAGAGCAAACTGAGGTGGTGGCAATGCTGGGGGGTGGGTAAAAAAGTGCCCCCCTGCCAATGCAAGGGGACATGGGTTCGATCCCTGGTCCAGGAAGATTTCACATGCCGAGAGGCAACTACGCCCATGTGCTGCAACTGCTGGAGCCCATGCTCTGCAACAAGACAAGCCACTGCAATGAGAAACTCTCACATCACAACTGGAGAGTAGCCCCGGCTCACTGCAACTACAGGAAGCCTGCGCATAACAAGGAAGACCCAGTGCAAACAAAAATAGAAAAAAAAAAGTGCCCCCAATCAGCACAGTGTCCTCCTCTTCCCCCCTCTCCCAAACATCCATCTTCAGGCATGACACCTTATCCCTCCCCCAGGTAACCCCCAGGCCTGCCCTTCTTGTGCCATCTCTCCATGTTCTGGATGTTTCCACCTACTGTTGATTATATCCATGGCGGCTCCCAAGATTGGTACTAGTTTTTTTTTTTTAATACAATTTTTTCTGGTTTCCATTATAAATGAATGTTTATTCGTTGTTTTAAAAAAATAGGAATTGAGCTGGTTTGGAAGTTTGTGAGGAACTGATTTTGTGCTCACAGGATCAAGCTCTCTGGGGACACAGTCATAGTTGTAGTGGGACCAACTCAGCTCCTGGACTGTCTTGGTCTGAAACACAAAGTCCTGCATCCCAGGAAACCCTGTCCAGGGCGAATTGAGATGATTGGTCACCCTACAGAATATCTGGGGGACCCTTTGGTTTATTTTTTATTATTTTTTAAACTTGTTTGATTTTAATGAAAAATTCTACCACTATAAACAAGCATTGATTATATAAATTTATAAAAATTTATAAAAATTTTATCTACCAGCTAATAACATATATTAGTCTTGTTACTTTGGGCTATAAAATAACCTATGATAGACCTTTCCCCATTAACACAGATATGGCTTTTTGAATATATAACCAAGGCTTCCCGGGTGGCTCAGATGAGAGAATCTGCCTGCAGTGCAGGAGACCTGTGTTCGATCCCTGGGTTGGGAGGATACCCTGGAGGAGGGCATGGAAACCCACTCCAGTATTCTTGCCTGGGGAATCCCCGTGGACAGAGGATCCTGGTGGGCTACAGTCCGTGGGGTCACAAAGAGCCAGACACTACTGAGTGACTAAGCACCGCACAGCACACATGTAACCCCAGAGCATGTGATTCAGCTTTTTTAAAAAAACAGTTTGGTTCTCTTTTCCTGAATTCAAGAAGTCATTTTGCCTCTGAAAATCTCTTACCTCTCCTGTAATTATCTAAGAAAGTTGCAATGATATTTTACATCAGAGGTTCTACATAAAATTAAATGTAAATTTACAGTGGGGGTAACTAACTCTTATGTATCACTTAATCAGGGTCATTAAGGTTTAACACTGCTCTTTAGGACAAGTTTCCAACAAGTCTGTGGGGGACTCAAATAATTGGGTTTTGGGCTTTGCAGATAAAGGTAGCATTGGGCAGTGGGGTCTGGGCTTACATGTAGATAAAGAAAAGTAAAATACTCCATGAATCCTAGGAAAACTGCTCTTAATGCTGGAGGAGTAATCTTTATTTTCAACCTCTTTGGACAAAGCCATCCTCCATGTGCCTTTTCACTCAACTTATACAGAAACTGTCAAGGCCCATGGGGAGCCCTGTGGAGGTTGCCCAAGTCTGCAGTTTCTAGCTCTCAGGAAGAGGGAGGGGATTCTTAGAACTTAGGTGGGCATGACCTTCATTGGGCCGGAGCAGGGCGGGGCCTGCGGGGCTGACGGCTCGTCCAGTTCTTACCGAATTGATCCAGTCATTGTAGTTGGAGACCCGTGTGAAGACGGAGGGCTTGCGGTAGTAGTTGCAGCCGAGGGAGGACCCGAAGCTGACTATGCCATGCACCTGCCACTGGCCGTTATCCGCCTGGCAGTTCAGTGGCCCACCGGAGTCCCCCTGGGGAGGAACAGAGCTGTGTCAGGAGGGGCCTGGGGGCTTGGGCAGGGGGATGGGAGGGGCAGGGGCTGCTCTTCAGAGCCCTTGTTTTACACATCGGCAGTGTATTTATATTGTTCCACGTGGGTCGCCAAGTTCCCTGAGGCCAGCCCTCGCAGTCACAGCTCAAGATGGCACCATAATACTGATAGGCACTAGCCCTTGCTCTTTCTGGGTGCCTGGAATGGTGCTGAGCACTTTATAGGTCTTATTCCATTTCATCTTCACAAAAATCTACGAGGTAAGTGTTGCTACCTGGTGGCTCAGATAGTAAAGAATCTGCCTGCAATGGAGGAGACCTGGGTTCGATCCCTGGGTCAGGAAGATCCCCTGGAGAAGGGAATGGCAACCCACCCCAGTACTCTTGCCTGGAGATTCCATGGACAGAGAAGCCTGGAGGGCTATAGTCCACGGGGTCGCAGAGAGTTGGACACGACTGAGTGGCAAACACACACACCATTTCACTGAAGAGAAAAGCAAAACCTCTCAGTCTGAGGTTGTGCAGGCAGTAAGTGAAGGGGCTGAGATGTGTCCCTGAGTTAGGAACTCATGCGCTCCACCACCATCGGGAGTTTCCTCCCACTGAGGGCGTTTCCTGGGAGCCGGTCTGCCTGGACAGAAAGTGGAGGTCTCCAGTGTGATCTGAAGGACACAGGAGGCTCCTTCCTGCTCTGTGCTCACTCGGCTGCAAAGTCCGCCACATAGCAAGTCTGTTTGGTTAAGATGGTGTGTCTAGAAAGTCTGTGTGGTAGCTACCCTGAAGCGACAGACATGAATGGGGTTAATTCAACAGATAGACTTGAAATCATCTCAGAAAGGTACTGACTCAGCAAATAGGTCCCCTTGTCTCTCTTCCGACAAAGAGGGAAAGAATAAGATTGATGACAGTAATGAGAGACCTCAATGGAACTCAAGGCAGGACTTTCCAGCAGTGAGAGGGTAGACACTATTACAAGGAGAATCTCAAAACATCTTTTCTGGAGACTGCAAGGGCAAAGGTCAGGGTCTCAACCATGTGAAGCTGCTTCCTAGCACTTCTGCTCGCAGGTAGGAGGATGGAGCCTAGGACCCCGACACACTCTCCCCACCTTCAGCTCCATTTTGTTGGGAGGGGATGACTTCCTGGACTCACATTGCAGCTGGAGGTCACGCCGTCACCCCCAGCACAGATCATATTGGTCTTCACAGTGCTGCCCCACCAACTAGATTGGGAGCATGTGGCATAGTCCACAACCAGCAGTTCACCCTGCTGCAGGATGTCAGGAAGAGCTCCGTTGGCTGCATGAGACAAGAGAGAAGGTGTTACAGGGATAAAGGGAAAAAGCAAGTAGGGGATGCCTACTGAATTTTATGCCCAGCCCCTTTTTCTCTGGTCCCTCTTACTTCCCTCCATCCATAGGGTTGCCATGGAAGCAGTCAATTTGCCTACACTGTATCCTCACAGTTGATTGGTCACTGCTGATTGGTGCAGGGGTGAACACCTGTCTCCAGCTAAGCCAATGAGCTCCTTTTCCTGGGAATTTGGGGTTGGGACTAAGAAATCCCAGCCAGAGAGGATATAAATCTGGGAATTGTTGGTAGTGGCCACCATTTTCTTCTAAGGAGAGAAGGATGAAATAGACCCATGAGGAAAAGAAATTCTGAGAGAGGGTTTCTTGAGTTTCTAACAATCTTTCAGTGTCCAATTTTCTTCTGTTCGTTAAGCCTGGCTCTCTCTGCCCTTGACTGAGTCTCTTGTTGTTCAGTCATTTAGTTGCATCTGACTCTTTGAGAACCCCATGGAATGCAGCACGCCAGGCTTTCCTGTCCTTCACTATCTCCCAGAGTTTGGTTAAACTCATGTCCATTGTGTTGATGATGC